ATCTATCTAATTCTATCGTGCATTTTACGAACTATAGCTATCTCTGAACCGGGTTTCTCCAAATTTTACGTATTAGCTTCTAGACTGGTGATTTGGGCTGATATTGACCATTTAGTGCACATTTAACCCGAAATCGGATGAAGATATATATGAGAGCTATATCCAAATCTGAACCGATTTCGATAAAATTTAAAACAGCTATTCCTGTGCTCCATCTAATACCTGGTACCAAATATCACGGTTGTGGAGTGAATATTACGAATGTGTGGGACTAAAACTCTAAATCGGATGAAACATGTATATGGTTGCTATATCTATATCTGAACCGATTTTCACTAAATTTGATATACTTGCTTCTAGGCTGAATTTGGTCCGATGTACTAAAATTCAGTCCATTTGGACTTATATCGGCCATTTGGTGCACAATTAACCCGAAATCGGATGAAGATATATATGGGAGCTATATCCAAATCTGAACCGATTTCGATAAAATTTAAAACAGCTATTTCTGTGCTCCATCTAATACCTGGTACCAAATATCACGGTTGTGGAGTGCATAGTAGGAATGTGAGGGACTTAAAGATCAAATCGGATGAAAGATGTATATAGGAGCTATAGCTATATCTGAACCGATTTTCTCCAAATTTGATATACTTGCTTCTAGGCCGAACTCGGTTGGGTGTGCCAAAATTCAGGTAATTTGGACTGATAGTGGATATTTGGTGCACATTTAACCCGAAATCGGATGAAGATATATATGGGAGCTATATCTAAATTTGATCCGATTCTCACCAATTTCAATAGGGTTCGTCCTTGGGCCATCTTGGGCCATTTCATCTCAATCGGATAATAAATGCGACCTGCATTTTGTTCACAAGAATACATGGACAGACGGACGGACGGACGGACGGACGGACGGACGGACGGACAGACGGACTGACATGCATAAATCGACTCAGAAAGTGATTCTATGAAGGTTCTCAAAAGTAACTATGGGTCTATCTCGTTTCCTTCTCCATGTTACAAACAAATGCACAAAGACATAATACCCTTACCACTATGTGGTGTAGGGTATAAAAACATACACCTGTACACATGCACACACACACACACATTCATCCCCTTGGCAAATGAGCATTTTTGCGAACAAGTTTGAGTACAAACGACCCACAAGTACTTTGAATTAAATTTGCATATTTGAAATGGCAAATACTCACATACACATGTATCACATCACAACTCATACATACGCACACACACACACATAAATATATATTATGTCAACCACTTCTATGCACGATGCCGCTTGGTTGGCTGGCTGGCTGACTGGATGCAAACACTCAGCGACATATGAAATTATTAACATATTTTAAATTGAAATATTAAAAAATCTTCAACGGAAACTACACACACTGCTTACTATTGCCTCTCGCTCTCACACACACACTCACAATCTCAACACACCTGACTTCAAATTTGTATTTAAAATTAAGAGAATGACAAATACAAAAAAACGCAGTAAAAAATATAGCACAGGAATTGTTTGAATGGTTATTGTTTAAAGATCCCCAACCCCCCCTCTCCACCATCTTCTTGCAAATCCTGGAGCGTTTCCTTTCCACATGACACCTTGCCGTTGCTGTACGATATCATCTGCCAACTATACATGGACACGGTTCCCCATTTCTGCCAGAGCACATCCAGCATCAGAAAATCAATTAAATTCTACACTTTAAGCTGCCGCAGGAGGATTTTCATGAATGAATTTTATGCGCCAATGAATATAAAACAAATAAAAATGGGTGACAACACACTCACACTCTGGAATGAGAGGAGAGAGTAGAAACAGAAAAAAATACATGGCGGACAAAAAGAACGAAAAAAACACACAATTGTTGAAACAAATATTCACCAACAAAAACAAGAAAAAAAATGATGCGAAAACGTAAGGAAATATATGAAAATTTCACTGCAACCTACACACACACATATGAGCTTGATTTTACTTACCCATAGAAAGACATTCACACGCTTATGCATACGTTCGTACCCACATTGCGAGTAGAACGCCGAGAAAAGTCGGAATCACATAAAATACATATTTGGAGAGATGCCATATAACAAAACAACGAGGAAATATGAATTTGAAATGAATATCTCCCAAGAGAAATGAAACTAGGACTCAAAATACCAATTTACAGACTTTTTAGTTCGAACATCAGAATACAAGCAACTAGAAGGAGCTATTCCACAAAGCAGAACTGCGTGTAATATTTTTCGAAGGAACATGTTCCACCTATTAATATTCATATAGAAAAAGTAAGAAACAAAAAAAAAAAACAAGTTGTAAAATATCAATCAGTTTTGCCGACAGAACTATACCCTCAGCCAATGTTCGATTGTTTAACTTTATTTTGACTTCTGATTATTCAAATTATTGGCCCTCTATGAAGTAGGTTCCGTAAAAATAGGTCAATATTGTCCATTTCGTATCGGAGCGAAGTAAATATAATATAAATATTACGACGTGCCAGGTTCTTCCTCAACTTTATACGGGATGTGTGATAATTTTTAGAAAATGTGCGTGAGTTACCAGTAGTATTCCAAAAACGTAAGATGCTTATTGCGCTTTCTTTGAGCGTTTCGTTTCTCAAAATCTTGAACCCTATGTGAAGGAGGTACGAGCAGTAATGGTCCAATCTCTACCATTTTTAAAATAGAACTTGTGTTGAAGTAAGTAGTGGGAAGTGCTAAATCGAATGGTAATTTCATGGTAATATTCAGAATATTGACCCTTTGTATGGGAGGCACTAGAAGGAGTAGACCGATATATCCCAACTTCACCGCAGATCTTGTATTAGTAGAAATAATAGTATGTGTCAAATATGAGGAGAACCGGAAGCTTTTTCGGATTTTATGCACTAATACAAATTGTAGGATTTGCAAAGTTGGAGTCAAATTGAATTATTTTTTTCTCTTTGTGTGCAGTATAATATTTTGTGTGAAAATTTCGACCTGTTGTGGTGGAGGTACAAAAAGGAGTGGGCCGATAATACCCATCTCCGAACTCTATCTATAATAATATTAGGATGTACCAAGTTTGGACCAAATCGAATACTCCCTTCGAGTGTTATCGTGCGCACCAGCCAGCCGGACAGACAGACGGACGGACGGACATCGCTAAATCGACCCCAACTGTCCTGAAACAGATTTGGTCCAAAGAGATCTATAGTCTAAAATCGTTATTTCGATAAGGCACGTTTTTGCCGAATCAAATGATATATACTCTCTGTAGGCTTAGGGTGTAAAAAAAGGATGTAGATCCACATTTACGTATAGCTTATACTGCGCACCTCCCCGCAGTGGTTGTGGATGTAAATTCTCAACCGGGTGCACAATAGGCAGAGCCATCAAAACTAGAATCATTTACTACACATCTCGTCTTCATTACGTATCTTCTGATATTGAGTTTTTCACTCAGAGTTCAATGGGTCTTGAGGTTTTGGTACTGCTTTTTCCAATGATTTTGCATTTCCTCATTGTGGATGATATTTAAAAAAATCAGATCCGCTGAATAAGGCCTTCTTTGTTCTGTTTCGAAGAATTCACCCTAGTTCTAGTTTTAAGGGATACTTTTGATCGCCTTTTCTTTAATGTGGCATCCATTAATCCGTTTTTTAAACGTTGTCATTTGTATGGCCATAGTTATATTCTCAAGTATGTGTATGTGTGTTTGTGCGCTTATATACAGTACTAGTGTATATTTGAATATCCTAAGAATTTAATTTGGATTCAAAAGTTTACGTTTTTGTGCAATTTTTATGCAAATACAGCAGAAATTTGTCCTTTTTGTCGTTTCGTCATGGCATGGAACGGAACGTTCATTTGGCAATTTTCGCAAAGTATTTGTTGCAACGCTTGCTTGCAGCTGCATAAAGCTAAAAGTAACCCACACACACATATAGACACACATGCACACAACAAACAGACAAAGACATAAAGAATGGCAAAAAACGAAAGCAGGACAACAATAAAATATGGCGGCGACATGTTGCAATAAAGGCATTTAATAGACTCTGGATATGCAGAACAAAAAAAAAAAAAAAAAAAAAAAGTGATAATAAAATATATTGGGTTCTGAGGATGAATGGCAAAGATACACACACACACACACTCATACACATACTTCACTACTGCCATCGTCTTTGGAATTCGCCAAAGTTCCATTTTTCGCAGACGGATTAAATGCTCAGCACTGGCTAAAGCGAGGGCATATTAAAAGAAAATGCTGGGGGATCAAGTTATTGGTGACAAATTGAAATTTGAAATGTGAATGAACGAATTTAGCTTCTAACAATGAATATGGGATGGGATGGCGAAGGTATATTATTTTCATCGGAAATTGATTTCAGGATAAGTGGATGTAAAACGTGGGAATGTAGGGAAAACTTGTTCCTTAGAAAAGGATGAAAAATGGGATATATAGGCAACGGATCTATATTTCTGATATTGATTCCAAATATTAAAATAATCGAAGGCCTAACATTATCCATTCATGTAGGAAGCAGAACTATCCTTTTTACTACCCTATGTACCTATAACCAACACTTTTGTAAAAACAATTTTTGCTTTCAAATATCGATGTTCATTTTTTATATCTTCCCTTTCAAACAATTTTCATTTAACCACCAATACCAAGGTCATTGTTAAGCATTTCCCTAATTTCTAAAACAGAGATACCTCCTTCCCCGCCTTGTCATTTTAATTCGTTTTTAGTGTTCTCTCAACTGTTTGTGAAAATTACTTTTAAAAATTTTACTTTCTTCTTTAATGGGCGCTTTTCTGCTTCGTTTTAGCTCAACATTTTTACCATATTGTTTTGTTATTGCTGTTGTTTACTATTTGTTATACTTTTGTAAAGAATTTCGGTTCGCTTTTTTCGTGTTCTTCTAAAATCTAATTCGGTTTACATTGTTTGTGTTTTAATTCTTATTTTGCAGTGCGTGATCATTGCCATCGCCAGCGCAGCGAAGGTGTGGACGTTAAGGCAAGACGCAAACTTCTCATTGCCAGCGGTCTTTGCTTATTTTTCATGATATGCGAAATTGTGGGTAAGTACAGAACACAACATACAAACATACACATACAGAGGCACAAATTTATATTGTTCAAATGGACGAACAAATAATTTGCCTTCCCCGATGTTTTTTTTTTGATGTGGCATGTTCATGTTTTTCTTTAAACTGGGTCTGGAGCGGAATACTTAATAGGCTGGCCGGTCAGAAACACGAAATCATAATTTATTACCATTTAAATAAGTAGAAAATTGGGTAAAGATTGAGCATTGCAAGAAGTGGAGACAGCGGGGAGTGTTGGATGATGGCTTGAAAAAATTGGAAGCATGTCCTTGAGGGTATTTTGTGCTGTGGTTGCTTTTTTTCATTCTACCTCATCATTGTAAAGTAAATGAGGTTTGAATTTAAATGGTAGCTATTTTTTCTTGTGTTGTTTTTTCAGTCTATGTAAATTTTGAGATTTTAAAATTGCCCGAGGTAAAGTGGAAGTTCTATTGTCAATGACAGAAAAGTTTATTCCTTTTGGGGATGGATAGATGAATGGATGGCTTGGCGCTTTTGTAAAATATTAAAGCTTTAAGGAAACAATTAACGGCAGGGTTAAATGATTTCCCCTTTCCATAGAGTGACAAGAACACGCAAATAGCCGATTTACACCTCACTGTGATATTCTTTCTTTTGAAATATTAAAGGAAGTGATTAAGCAGGAAAAAAGGGGTGGACCACTAAAAAATAATATAATGAGGGTATCCCCGAGCCGCTGATGATGGCCGGCGATATCTTCAAATTTACAATTCTTCTTGGATTTGAAAAATCTTAATTTATGATTGTCACACAATATGTAATTTTAAATTTTATATCAATATCGAAGAGGTATGCAAAGTAAAAAAATATGGGTGTTGGCGACAGTTATATACCCTTAGCTCATGGTAGTTATGATCACATCATTCGATTTCATTTAATTTTCATAGTAATTTTTCGAAGCACTGTTTTTAAATTTAGACCCCTTATGATGATATCTCATTTTCTCGGTAAATTAAGCTTTAAGGAAATCGATGACACGATTATTCAACATTTTCCATCTTATGGGATTTTTTGAAGATTTAGAACTTTTTGAAGGGTCCCAAAGGCACTAGAACAGTACAGGGTGAGATAAAAAAAACTGCCACAAAGTCAAACCCCATTTTTCCACATTTTTTTTTTAAATTTTATTGAAGGAAAGCAAAAAATGTCGGAAATAGCAGAAAATTTTAGAATAAGTTTAGGTTTGTTCGAATTGGTCACCTTTGGCACGAATTATGGCCTTAAAACGGCCAATGAAACCGTCACACGCTGCCCGAATGTTGCTCTGCGGTATTTTGGCCCATTCCCGGCGAAGCACTTGCTTGAGGTCATCGACACTTTGGTTTTTTTTAGTGCCAACCTTGCTTTCCAAAATACTCTAGACCCAATAGTCCAACGGATTGGTATCCGGATATTTTGGTGGCCATTGTGCGCTGAAAATGAAGCGAGGAACCTCATTTTGTAACCATTCTTGGATGGCGCGTGCTGAGTGCGATGGTGCTGAGTCCTGTTGGAATGTCCAAGGTTTGCGTGCCAAAGGCTTTAATACACTGATAATATTCGGCATTTATTCTGATGCCACGGTCGATTAATACGAGCGGTCGGCGGCCCACGCTATCACCATGGCTGGCGCTTGAGTTCTTGTGGCCATACGAAGGTTGACCTCTGGACAACGGAGAAAACCAAATTCGGCAGTTCACCACTTTCGGCCAAGCGAAGCAACTCTTTAGCTCTTTTGAGTCTATTTTCTTTCCGTTGTGGAGTAAGTTCTTGCAATTTTTAGAATTTCAATGGCTTTACACCGAGCACATTTTCAATATTTGCCGAATGGAATATTGCGATATGTTCAGCTCACGAGCCATTTTTCGGCCACTGCGACGTGGGTTTCGATCAAATCGCTTCTTTATATTTCGAACTATTTCTGCTGATGTTCTCCTTCCGTCCACTTCCTTGACCTCGGGCTACGCTACCAGTGTCACGGTAACGAGCGAATAATTTTAATAGCTGTCTAACGAGTGGCTTAGAAATGACAGCAGTCTGAAGATGGTTGTAGTTTTTTCATCTTACCCTGTCTTCAAATTCTTCCATTTTGAAGTTTACCGAAGAGGATATTAGTTACACTTTTACACAACTTTTTAGTACCATTAAGTACTTTTCGTACAATTGTAGCACACATTTTCAAAACTAACTCTATATTTCGACAACAGAGATCTCAATACAAAATTTGAGTATTTCAGACCTATGCCTTAACCCAGTACCAAATTTTGTACCATTTAGTACTTTTCGTACAAATATTGTACGCATTTCCAAACCACCGCAGTAATCTAAATATTAAATTTCCGAATTTTATCTCTATCCCATCAATCAAGAGTTAGTACTTTTCGTAGAATTGTAGTACATATTTCCGAAACCAGCTCCATATGTCTAGGCACACATGAGCATATTTAATTTTGAAGTTTATTAGGGAGGATATTAGATAAATACTTGCACAATACATCCACATCCGATTTTTCTGTCGAAAATTATTTCAACGTCTCCCTATGTAAACCCAAGCCAAATTTCAGCTCCATCGCTTCACCTGATACCAAATATAGTACCATTCAGTACTTTTCGTACAATTATATTACACATTTCAGAAACAGCTCCATACGTCTGGTGTTCCATAAGCTACATAAACATAGCGACCATTATACCACATTTCAGATTTCAAGAACTATCTGTTCACCCATTAGCAAATTGTACCAAATATAGGACTTTTTAGTAATTTTCGTGCCTTTATAGTACAAATTTCAAACATCACATTTTTTCACGAACGTACCACCAATAAATGTTTCTTTAAAAAAATGCTTCCAATATTCAAATCCATAAAATGTCTTAGCCAATATTTATTACTGAACTTTTACTTGGACAAAGACCCCCAACATAATGAGTCACAAATTTCTGTAACCCGTAGGTATTTGTGAAAAAAAAATTCAATTAATTTTCGATAAACGAATTTCTTTAACGTAGCAAGAATGTCATATAGTTGAGTTTTTTTTTTCAACTTGGGTCTTCCCCAAATGCATTTTCTTCATCGCATTCACATAAAATGAAAAATGCATAAAATTAAACGAAGTACAAGGCTACATTTCAATTCAGGTTTCTTATTTCTCATTCCGCAAAAGTAAACACTGCAATTCAATTCATTTGCCACTCCTTTCTGGCCCTCAGAAAAAACAACACACACACAGTCAGTATCAGTGTCACTTAAGTGGTGGTCATACCGTTCGATTCCATCAATAATACTCTCTTTCTCATTCCGAACTGCAAAAGGCACACTAACCACTTGGAGAATTGCTGCATTTGTTTCAATTCTTCATTGCAATTCGGGTTGGTGAATGCGAATGAATGTTTGTTCGGAGCTTTTTTATTTGATGTGATGTCATGTCAGTCATTTCGAAGTTGTAGCCATTCTTTGCTATTATTCCTTTGCATGGCCCACGACCCACTCGACTCTCCACTTCGTCTTCTTCTGCCGCCTCCTACGTTTCTTGCATTCCAAGCCCACACTTCGTTTTTCGGTATGACAATGTGAAAAGGTCATTCGTGTACATTTTATTGGCCTCATAGACAAACGAGCAACTCCGCCTTTTCAGTGTTGTTGTATTGGGTCCTCTTTTCGTTTTGCTGCCGCTTGTCGATTGCCCTCCAGGCGTTTGAACTTCAGAAAAGCATGAACAGAACAAATGATACCTTCCTGTCAGTTGGTGTAGAACGAACGAACGGACGAACGGACGGATGGACTGAAGGAAGGAAGGCCATGCCTGAAATGAAAACAGAACGTAGGAGAACAACAACAAAAACAATATTTCTCATGTTACAATCAATTTACAGGTGGCATTTGGTCAAATAGTTTGGCAATTGCAACAGATGCTGCTCACTTGTTAACCGATTTTGCAAGTTTTATGATATCCTTGTTTGCCATATGGATTGCCGGTCGACCTTCAACCCAACGGTAAGTTGCCATTTTTTTGTGTTCTGTTCCTTTTTTTTTCTTGCCTAACCACCAAAATGTGACAATTGAAAAAAGGGATTAAATAAATTGCTGTTAAAACCTTTTGTGAGTTTAAAAATCAAAAAACAGTGACTCTGGAAAATATTTAAGATTTTCTTTGCAGCTATTCAGAATTGTGAATTTAGATTACTTAAAGTGAAATGTGTAAAATTTTGACGGTACCAAAAGAATTTAAATGATACATCCCATCTTTAAACTTATAAGAGAATATAATAAAATTGTTTCGATGTATTAATTTCGAACTACTCAGTAGGTATTCGGTATTTTAAACCTTTGTTTAGTTCGTAAAAAAAATAATATATGAATAATAATAAAATACGGGGTGATAAAAGACTACATCAAAATCAAACCCCATAATGTTTACACTTTTTTTAAATTTTATTGAATGAAATTGAATGAAAACAAGTTAAAAAGCAGTAAGTTCGGCCGGGCCGAACTTTTAATAGCCTCCACCATTTGCAACGAATATGGAAATTTTCAAAAAATAAAATCCTTAAAAAAATACCGAATATAGCGAGGTGCCGTTATATGGGGGCTATACGAAGACGTGGACCTGCACAGACAATTTTCAGTCTTAGGGTGCAGTATCCATTTGGAACTTCAAATACCAAATTTGAAACAATTCCGGTGAATAACGTCGCTAAAATCATCAAAATACCGAATATAGGGAGGTACCGTTATATTGGGGCTATACGAAGACGTGGACCTGCAAAGACAATTTTCTGTCTTAGGATGTAGTATCCATTTGGAACTTCAAATACCAGGTTTGAAACAATTCCCGTGAATAATGTCGCTAAAATCATCAAAATACCGAATATCGGGAGGTACCGTTATATGGGGGCTATACGAAGACATAGACTTGCACAGACAATTTTCTATCTTAGGGTGTAGTATCCATTTAGAACTTCAAATACCAAATTTGAAACAATTCCGGTGAATAACGTCGCTAAAATCATCAAAATACCGAATATAGGGAGGTTACCGTTATATGGTACCTATATGAAAACGTGGACCTACATGGCCCATTTACGAACTTAACCTGCCTACTGGAAAAATAAACATGTGTGCAAAATTTTAGCCATCTATCTCAATTCATTCGAAAGATAGCGTGATTACAACAGACGGACAGACAGACAGACAGACGGACAGACAGACAGACAGACAGACAGACGGACATCGCTAAATCGACGAATTTTACGCTGATCAAGAATATATATACTTTGTTGGGTCTGACATGAGTATTTCGAGGAGTTACAAACGGAATGACAAAGTTAATATACCCTCCATAGTATGGTGGAGGGTATAAAAATATCGGAAATAACATCAAATTTTAGAATATGACTAGACTTGTTCGAATTGATCACCTTTGTCACGAATTATGGCCTTCAAACGGCCAACGAAACCGTCAAACGCTGCCCGAATGTTGCTCTGCGGTATTTTGGCCCATTCCCGGTGAAGCGCTTGCTTGAGGTGATCGACACTTTGGTATTTTTAGTGCCAACCTTGCTTTCCAAAATACTTCAGACACAATAGTCCAACGGATTGGTGAAGGGAGGAATCTCCAAGGTCTGCGGGTAAAATGTTTGCGTGCCCAAGGCTTTAATACACCCTCCAATATTCGGCATTTATTCTGATACTAGCGGTGAGTGACCATCGGCTGTTATGGCGGCCCACACCATCACCATGGCCGGCACTTGAGTTCTGGTGGCCAACCGATGGTGAAAATTTTCAGCTGGCCTCTTTGGCAAGTAAACACCATCATTTTGTTTGTTTACAAACTGCTGGACAACGAAAGTTTTCTCATCGGCCAAGCGAAGCAACTCTTTAGCTCTTTCGAGTATATTTTCTTTATATTGCGGTGTAAGTTCTTGCACATTTTGGAATTTCAATGGCTTTACACCGAGCTCATTTTTCAATATTTGCCGAATGGAATATTGCGATATGCTCAGCTCATCAAGTCGCTTCTTTACTTTTCGAACCATTTCTGCTGATGTTGGTGTTTTCTTCCGTCCACTTCCTTGACGTCAGGCTACGGTAATGAGCGATGGCACGAGACACAAAAAATTTATTCAGATTTTAATGCTGGAGTGCTCCAACGATAGCCACTTGTGGTTTTGTACGCTTGTAAACAATATAGTGAGCTGTCACTGGAATAATTTTAACAGCTATCGGACGAGTGGCTTAGAAATGACAGCAGTCTGAAGATGGTTGCAGTTTGTTCAGCCTCAGCCTCTCAGCCTCTAAAAAACATTATTTGAGAGTTATGATGCGCACCAGCTAGCTTGACAGAGATTTAGATGGGACTAGATCGAATCCAAATCTGAAACGGATTTTGTTCAAAGAACAAGGCTCCGTTATTTCAATGTTTCTTTTCCGTGTCCCTTTTGCAAGCATATTGCTGAGGGTATAGACATATTTAGTTGAACCCACTGTCTCCTCGTGTTCATCCTATTAATATAATTTGAAGACATATTTGGCAAATTGTAAAAGTTTTCGATTGATACGCTATGCAATGACTTTTTTCCCTCTTAGAAATTTGTTATTTTCCCACACAATCCACCTCTCCAACATGGTAGCAATCACAAATATTGAGGACTTTTATATTTGTTCGGTAGTTTCCGGTCATTTAATTTAATGTCAACTTTTGTTTCACGACACTCAACCACACGCACACACTTGGTATACTCACACCGACCCACACCTCCCTAAAATGTTCACATTTTTAGTTTTATTAACGTCTTTAGACTTGGAAATTTATGTCATTTAATGGCCAAACCGAAACTATGGCGAACAACACACTGGCAATTCGAAATCACGAATTGAGTCAAACATATGTGAACATGAATTCGATTTGAGACGTGAAATAGAATTCCATATTTCTCAATGGGGGAGTTGGAGAGTAAACGGAATAAGATGGAAGACATACAACAAACAAAAATTCAGCTTCTTTTTCGCAATTTTTGTGTGTGTGTATGTTTTTGGAGTATTAATAGCAGCTCTTAACTGGGTGACAAATTTCTTTCTATTATTTGTTTCGTATCCTTCACGGGCCAAGGAGCCGAGAGAGAGAGGGTACGTTGTAAGGCATTCTGATTAACGAGCGTAATTTGTAGCAACGGGGTGGTAAGTTGTTTCATTCAGGAAACGGATATGTGACGTGGCTGCACGTGAACCTGGTTGGTGTTTGCCAACAAGGCTATGGTTTGATTTCTATATTTATTAACAAAAATAAAGTCATAGATCCAGATGACGTATGTTTGGAATTTTAGATGACTTTTTCGTAAAATGGATATTTTCAAGATCTAGAAGTTTAAAAAGGTATTTTTCATGTGGAAAAACTTTCATAAACGCTCATTTGTTTATAAATATTTGGCATTACTTAGTTTTTGAACCCAAAATCCATCGAAAAATATTTTTTTAACAGGAAGTCCTTCAAAATAACTTATTTTAAAACTAAATTTTTTGGACAAAAAGACTTGGAATAAATTTTTTTTGATAGGAAAGACTGCACAAATCAAAGGAGGACAATTTAAAAAATCCTTAAGTTTTTAGAGAGGACTTTAACATTTTTCATAAAAATATCCACGAGGAGAATGTTTAGACCCTAGGTCTCTTTGAACCAAATCCGTTTCGGGACATTGGGAGTTGGAGTGTCCGTTAGAGTTGTGCCAATCTAGTTGATAGTTCAGTAGACCAGTACCTCAAAGTATGAGTGATTTTATAAATTTCATATCACTCATACGCGGAGTTTTTATATAAACGACCGAAGTTCCCGGAACCAAATAAGGAACTAGTTCGTTTTATCGATCTTCATTGGTACAACTCTAGTTTGCGTCCATCTCTATGTCTTACTGGGACGCACATTAACTCCGGGAGTATCCGATTTGATCCAAATATTATTATCAAATATTATAATATTATTATCAAATTTAGATCGAGTTCGGAGATGGACAATATCGGTTTACTCCTTTTGGTACCTCCCCCCAAAAGTTCAATTTTTTCATAGCAAAAAAAGGATCATAAAATTTGGAGCAAACTTTGCAAATCCAAATATTTTTATTAGTGCTAGGTCAGAGGGTTAAATAAAAATGTCGTCCCACTCCTTCTGACAAACCCGCCCCCACAAAAAGGTCAACATTTTAGAACGGAAAATATTGAATAAAATGCGAAATAACAATCCGATTCTCTTAAATTTTCACACATTCCAATATTTTTACTAGTGCAAGATCCGGTGTAAAATTGAAAGATGTCGGCCCACCGATATCGTACCTACCCCACAAAGGGTCAAAATTGTCAATACTAATATACTCAATACTAATATATCTCACAACTAGCGAATCAAGTCAGAGATTTTCGTCTGAATTCCAATATGGAGTTTATCTGCCAATTCTAACGGTATACTGGTACTTCAAAAACATGTTTTTAACGGGATCTTTTTTTAATTACAACTTTTGAACTCGAAACCATTGCAGATTATTTCTTTAAACCTCACTTTTCCAAAATGTTGTTAATAATTTAACGTTAAAGGCATAAAAATTCCACTATTTATAAAATGGTGACCTCTACCCCCTGTACTGTTCTCCATTCCTCGGGTAAATAAAATAAGAGAAATTGGCCAAAACTTCGCTTCAAATGTTTTTAGTTCCAAGTTACTCTTTTTAAATACATAACTCTGCTGCAAAAAAGTATATCACATTAAAAGGCTTGGGACAACAAAGCATTTAAATTATGCAAAAAATTCTCGTACATGATTAACTTCAATGAAATGAAATAAAAAATGCTACACCCACAAAAAAACTGGGCCTTGATAGTTTACAAAATAGCCTTCCTGTCATGGCGGAACATTTTTGCATATGTTTTTACAGGTGTTTTTATGGGTTTCTGATGAGTTTTGTGTTCATTGGTCAAGTTTGCAACATTTCAACAAAATACACAGCAGG